AATAAATCTCTTCATTAACTTGATTGTTAGTTGATGCTTCAATTTGAGAATTTTGACAAATGATTATTTCTTGTTCACGATAATCTGATAGCTCTTTAGAGTTAAGATAATCTTGAAGATATTTCTTTTTATGTTCTGAAAATTCATGCTGCCAATACAATTGATTATTTATTTCAACTATTAAACCTTCTGCTCCTTCATTTATTTTAAATATTTTTTCATGTAATTCATCTTTAGTTAATCCTCTTTTTCGATATTTTACTAACCAAATCATATTACGAAAATCTGTTTCTGATCCCTTATGAAAAATAATTTGCATAGTTCTTTCATTAAGATTATTATTCCATTTACCCTTGAACTCAATGACAAAATCTAATCAATGAATAAATTGGTCATAACTTCACTTGTTGTCATCCTCACCATCACGTTGGCCAAAATTGTAAGCTTCTTCAGAAGGTTTTGTGCTTGTTAAAAATAAATATTGCGCTTTAAAAAAATCATACGTTTCATATTTATTTTCTATTGAAAATGAAGTATTATTCAAAACATTCACCATATCTGACCAATCAATTTTCGTATAAAATTCATCCAATAATACAACCTTATGATTTTCATAACTATTTCAATAATTTGAACCAGAACGTTGCTTTTTTGATTTTTCAAACAATTCAGTTTCACTAAATAATTCAACTACTAATCTAGTTTTTCCAGAACTACCCGGTCCATAAAAATAAAAAGTAACTGGTTTTCAACATCATTGAAATCTATTCTTTTTCTTTTTTTCAATATTTTTCACTGCTTTTCGAATTATATAAATATTTTGTGGATTATTAACAACCCATTGAGGATTCTTTTTTGCATATTTAACAACAGCCTCATCACCAGATAAATTTTCTTCAATAATATCTTCTATACATTCTCGTGCATCTTGTAAAATTTGTTCATCTTGTAATGTACAATCTTTATATCAATTTTTTCCTGATTTATTATTATTAACTGTTTGAGTAATAGAATAATCAAATGGATCTGAATTCTCATCATAACGAGCCAATATTCTCTGAGAGCAACAATCCAAATTACACCAAATGCATTTAGAAAAATCGATTAAATCATCATAACTGCATCGACAAATTGCTAAATAAAACTGAAGATTTTTTTCAAAATTTGTAATTGTATTTTTCATAAATTCTTCTTTTGAAAGATGTAGATAATCTTCATATTTAACTATTAAATGATTATGAATAGAATATTTATTATGTTTTTTCTTACAATAAATAATTGAATCTTTATCACTAGCAACTAAATCAAAATGAATTTTATCGGTCTGCAACTTTTCTTTAATTCCAGATTTCTTTTCTTTTTGATCATCATTAGCTAACTTATAATTACCAATTCGCATTTGATTTTTTAAATGAAAAAATCCTTGAATATGGCAATCCCGATCCTGGTCTTTAGCATTATAATTTCTCTCATATTGATAAACAAAATGTTTAAATAGACATGTTTCTTTATTATCAAAATAATTTTTAATTAAAATATCAAATTGTTCTCGATCAAAATCATAAGTAACAAAATTTAAATATCTATGTCGTTGAGTAATTATATCAGATATTTTAACTTAAAAATAAAATTGAGTCAATAAGACATATTTATATCTTTTTTAAAATTATTTAAATAAAAAATAATTTTATTTTTTTCATTTAATTTCTTATTTTTTTTAAAAAAAAAAATAAAAACTGTTAATAATCAAATTAGAAAAATTTAAATTCATAAAATATGAATAAACATAGAACAGAATCTAAATATAACAATGAACTGCCTAATTAGAAAAATACAAATCTGGAAAATTTGTAATTCTGTTCTAAATTCTTAAAATACAAATCAGGAAGTTCATTGGTATAATAAACTTCCTGATTTGTAAAATATGAATTTGGCAAATTTGGAATTCAGATTCAAATTTGTAAAATACGAATTAGAACTAGATTAGAATCTCATTGTGATGATGAACTTCCTAATTCATAAAATATGAATCTTGCAAAATTTAATTTCTTTATTGATCGAATTTAATTTTTTAAAATAAACTTATTATAAACAAAATATAAATTTATTTAATTTTATACTTAATAATAAATTTGATAGAGAAACTGCATTAACAGGTGTTTCGGATATTTTTTAGCAATAGATTAGTTAAAACTTCATATATAGCAGATTTTTCAAAATATTATACAATAGAAACATTTACCAATTTAATTGTTAAACAAGTTGTTAAAAAAATACCAAAAAGAAATAATAACAATGAACAAGAATTATAAATTTTATTTGCTACCAAAAGCAATATTACATAAATTATTATCATCATCTAATTTGAATATGTTATTGTCTTTTTTACTTTTCTTTTGTTGATTCATATAACTTGAATCATCAGAATCTGATGATAATGTTAATGTATCATCTAATTTTCTTTTTTTATTAGAAGATACAAGAATTAACTGTAGTAAATCTTGTCTGTAATCTGATAATTCGCGACATTTAGAATAATCTTGTAAATAATTTTTTTTGTATTCTAAAAAATGCTGGCGCCAATAAACTTGATTATTTTTAATAACAATCTCGCCTAAATTGTTTTGTTCAATTTTTGAACAACTGTTTTCAATTCATCTACAGTAAGAATTCCCTTATTGTATTTAACATCTCATTTCATATTTTGAAAATCTGTTTCATTGCCTTTATGAAAAATAAGTTTGGTTGTACGCAAATCGATATCATCATGCCACCTGCCTTTAAATTCAATAATAAAATCAAGTCGACGCTCAAACTGACCCCAATCTCTTTGTGCTGTTGTTTCATCCTCATGACTTTGATGCCCAAAATTAAATGATTCCTCAGGAGATTTATTCAATGTCATAAAAATATACTTGGCAAGAAATAGCTTAAATCCTTTAGATTTAATTTCTACTTGCTCAGGTATATCATTAAGATACTTAACTATATCGTTCTAATCGATCATTCATCTAATAACACAACTTTATGCCTGTTATAACTATTCTATCAATTTGAACCAGACTTTTGTTTTTTTTGCTTCAAATAAAGCTCTTGAGAAAAAAGTTTAAGAACAAGATTTGATTTACTAGCACCATCTTTACCATAAAAATAGAATGTTACAGGATGCCAAAATTTTTTAACTCTTCATTTACAAGTTTTTCATGCCATTGCTCAATATAAGTTAGATCTTGCAAACTTCTAAGCGAAGAACAAGGAAATAATTCTTTGGGATTTTCCAATATCTGCTTAGAGGAGATATTTTCTTCAATGATTCAATTAATACAATCCATATCTTCAATACGACATTTATTAATCTCATTAGTACCAAGAAATTCACTAGCAGGATCTAAATAATGATAATCACCAAATCCCAATATCCAACTTGATCTTGTGACAATTCAACTCCATCATTAGTCCAATGTGCTAATGTATAATTCTTAATATATTCGGAATTACAAAAATTGCATATCTTATCACGTTTTTGAAAATCACATTGACAAGTTTTTTTGTGAATTTTGCAACGATTCCATTGCTTTTGAGTGTAGATAAGATTTTGTTCAGAGTTACTATTTATAAATTTTGGAAAATTCATTGCTGTATGTCCAAACATTGATTTAACTGATTTTATACTTTGCCGAGTTTTAAATTGGAGATATACTTGTTTATGAAATTGACCTGATTCTGTAGACTCATATTGACCAGAACTAAAAGAAAGACCTTTGGCTTTTAAAGAATCAAATGATGTTTGGGATTTAGGAATTACACGTTTATATTCAATATTATGTGCTTGGCAATAACTGCACACAATATCATTACATTCCCGTAATTTACAGTAATTTGTACACGTATTTTCTTTACAGCGCCAATGATATTGACTACAAAGAATACAGTGGAACTTCTCCTGTAACAGAAAACTCCTCTTCACGTTGGCGTTTTTCTTTTTCAGTAAAATTGCGTTTGTATCGAAACTTATTTAAACAGGGAATACAATAATAAACAGTTGACATAATGTAAAAAAATCTCTGGTCTCGTCCCATTTTTTATTTATTGTTATTAGAAGAAGAGAAGAAAATTTGTCTATACCTTATATAATCGTAAAATATCCCAAAACAGAATACACGATTTTTACAAATTACTTAATATTAAAAACATGTCAACAATTGAGACTATTAAGGATGCGTATAAAAAACTCGTGTTAAAATGGTATTCAGATAAAAACAAAAACAACACGAATTATGCACATAAACAATTTTGCAAGATCAATAAAGCTTATGTTTATTTGTTAACACATCACGTACAAAAAAAATCATACACTAAAAAAAATGCTAAACTAAAAAATCAAATAAATCTAGCATTCTACCCTAACCCTAACTTTAACCCTAAACTAATGAATTAATTATTGTTTTTATTTCATGTTATATCAGATCTTATAGGTGCAATACATCACATAGACGATAAAATATAAAATTCTAAATATTAAATTATTTATTAATAAAATACAATTATTTTTAAAAAACATTAAACTTACAAACATTTTAAGACAAAAATTAACTCTTATCGTTATTAAATAATAAAAAATAAATAATCTTTAAATATCCTATCAACTAATATTCTAACTTATATCATCATATGTAATCTAATTATCCATTAATTAACCCAAAATCACATCTTACCTATATTCACTAGTCTTACTAATCACAATTCGCATATTTACATCTTACCCATATACTTACCATTTCTCTACTATGAATTTACTTGATTAATTGTAAATCCTACCATTCCGATAACTACTATGAAATATAGAAGTTACTCATTTCCCATACAATTTAATCAAACTATATAATTAAAAATTCTTACTAATCACAATTCGCACACTTGTATCTTACCCATATACTTACCACTTTTCTACCATTCTGATAACTACTATGAAATATAGAAGTTACTCATTAATCTTATTCCTACACAATTTAATCAGACTATATAATTTAAAAATAATACCTGAATATAGAACCTTCCCATAATCGAATTTACATAACTGATACCATTAAAATAATAAATTATCCAATAATCTAACAAAGTTACTTAACTTTCATTCACATCACCTAGAGCTAAAACCCAAAACACACCATCTACATTTGCATCTTACCAATATATACTATAAATATAATATTATCATCATTTCTAACCTCATACAGTTTAATTAATTAACTTAACTTCACTTTGTAGTCTAAGAATTTACTTATCTGATAACTAAAATAATAAATTAAATCGTTCGCTTAATCATCATTCCAATATCTGAACTTATACATCCATCTAACATATATATCTTACTCCACTTCTATTAACAATGATTAGAAGGAAAGATCTTACTAATTGTCATGATTCTAACTAAAATAATATTAAATATTAAACCACATTAGTTAAGATTAAACTATCTATCAAGTATACATTTCGTACAGCCAACAAATATTCTCTAACAACCAAAATTAAACTCAAACCTTTATTTACCGATCCAGTTTATAATATAGCTACTCACAAAAACACATTATTTAAGATTAAACTATCTATCAAGTATACATTCCATATAGCCAACAAATATTCTCTAACAACCAAAATTAAACTTAAACCTTTATTCACTGGTCCAGTTCCTAATATAGCTACTTACAAAAACACATTAGTTAAGGTTAAACTATCTATCAAGTTTACTTTTCATACAGCCAACAAATATTTTCTAACAACCAAAATTAAACTCAAACCTCTATTTACCATTTATAGCTACTCTTATATATACTCGATATCTAAATTTCATTTTTAAAGTTTATACTTACTAACTTAGATAAGTAATTTACAAATTGGTCCCAATAACCATACACTAAACCACCAACTATACTTACCCAGTTTCACACTAATAGACACTTTCACTAATCATTATAAATATCAAAATACATAATCTAAACAGTATAGTATAAATGAATATTAAAACACATTACATATTGTAAGGTTCATAAGGACCCTATTTCTTATTCGTCACCGTTTTCAAAAGTCGCTATCTAATTAAAATTACTATTTACTTAGTGGCGACTTTTTTGTTTTATCTGTCACTTTTACTATTAAATTTTGTGTCACACCTTTTAGAAAATCACCATCTAAGTTAAAACTATTTTGTACTTTAAAATCAGTAAATAAGGTCCAATTTTACTATCGAAAAAACTTTTTTTGGAGTGGGTGTGATACAAGTTTGTCGCCACTCTAAGAATAGAGTTTGGATTTTTGTAGATCAAGCCAATTCCATTGGCTAAATTCTGAATTATCACCAACTCACTAAGTAAATTTACGAATAATCATATAATTTTGCTG